TTTTTTAATTTTTTGCATATTTGTCACACTTAAAAGATTCAGATCATTAAACTAATTTTAATATTACACAAAGATAATGCAAGTATATATATACAAAATGCAGTTTTTAAATGATGATTTCATTTATTAAGGGAAAAACGCTGTCCAAACCTACGTGGCCCTACGTGAAAAATTAATTGCCCCCTCCTGTTAAATCATGAAAGAACTGTGATAAACCACTTTATTTTAGAAAGCCGAGTTAAATTTCACTAGCCACACCCAGGCCTGATTACTGCCAGACCTGTTGAATCAAGAAATCACTTAAATAGAAGCTGTCTGACAAAGTGAAGCATGCTTAAAGAGCAACACTTCATGCCGCGATCTAAAGAAATTCAAGAACAGATGAGAAACAAAGTAGTTGACATGTATCAGTCTAGAAAGGGTTATAAAGCCATCTCTAAGGCTTTGGGACTCCAGGGAACCACGGTCAGAGCCATTACCCACAAATGGAGAAAACTTGGAACAGTGTTGAACCTTCCCAGGAGTGGCCGGCCTACCAAAATTACTCCAAGAGTTACTCCAAGAGCGCAGCGACGACTCATCCAGCAGGTCATAAAAGAACCCAGAACAACATCTAAAGAACTGCAGGCTTCACTTGCCTCAATTAAGGTCAGTGTTCATGATTCAACAATAAGAAAGAGACGGGGCAAAAACGGCATCCATGGGAGAGTGCCAAGGCAAAAGTATCAAGGGCATGTGCTGCTTCAGTTAGGTTATTAGTGAGAAATAATGAGGTTATAAGAGAGAAACAATGCGGCAAGACGTGCATCCAAATGAGAGAGAGAGAGACCGTGAAGCTAGACGTTTCTTCTTATATTGACTAATGTACTCTACGATTAGCTCAGTGGAATAATTAAAAAAAAAACACCTGGCTAGAACAAGCTGATTGATACAAAATTGTGAAAGGGCGTTCCTGTAGCGATACCAGTACAATATCTCACGGTTTTCAACCAATCAGATTTGAGAACCAGAACGAACTGCTATCTATCTATCTATCTATCTATCTATATATATATATATATCAAATTGTAATTATTGCTATTATTTATTTTATTTTTTCCAGGAAATGTCCTAAGAACAATCGTGGAAGACGGCAAAAGCAGAACTTTTCATCAAACGCCTCTTCAAGGATGATGTAGCTTGTTTTTATTTAATTTTTTTTTATACTTTTTGTACCGAGTGGATTACAGTTTTAATGTGATTTTTTTGTTTTTTTTTGTTTTGTGCGTTCTTGACTCTGGACAATAAGGTTATTATCAATTGAAATTTTATGTTATTGAATGGTGCCTTATTGTTTTCAGGACATTTTAGGTACTTGATGTCAGTGAATGATGTCACTGTCAAATGAATGATAAAAGCCAGCTCTTTTTGTCGAGTTTTTTTGTTTTTATTTTTCCTTTAGATCGCGGTACCAGGTTTTTTCACGTATTGTTAAATGTAACTCTCGGCACACAAACTGTACCACAAAAACAGACGTCCTCTATTTCCATCGAATGTGCTTCTTTACTGAAAATGTTAACTCTGGACTGTCTTTAACTGCCCCCTTTGATTTGATTTTGATTTCCTCAAATCAAACATAGCTGAACACCAAATTTAATTGGACATGAACAAGTTTGCCGACGAAGTGATGACGTTTACAGTTTCTTTTGAAGGGAATTCCAGAGAATGAAATGCAACGTGTTTGACTAGCTAATCTTATCAATGTTGAAATGTTTGTAGTTTTTATTTTCTAATGTTATCGGTGTTAATGTTGAAACGAACATTATTTACTTTAATTTAATTCTATGAACTGCATATCGCATGACCTGTGAAACTGTGTCCAGTGCTGTAGATTTAATAAAATTTAATTCTCAGTCTTACAGATATTTTTGTTGCCTGCACACATACACACGGTGTAAAGTTAGTTGCTAAACCTTGAGTAATTCAGATGTGGTTTGTCCTAAGTAATATGATCTCTCGGAGTAATCTAATTTTAAGAATCCAGTTCAAGTACTTTGTATTTTGACCTGTTTAAATCATTAGCATCATGCTCCAAGACATCAAGTTTGGACGCCGTTACAATTTTACAAAACATCTTAAAGGGATCATTGACTCACATTCATGTGGTTCCAATCCTGTATGACATTTCATCTGTGGAAAACAAAGAAGATATTTAGAAAAATGTCAACTTTAAAGACAAAATATGTGACCCTGGACCACAAACCAGTCTTAAGTCGCTGGGGTATATTTGTAGAAATAGCCAAAAATACATTGTATGGGTCAAAATTATTGATTTTTCTTTTATGCCAAAAATCATTAGGATATTAAGTGAAGATCACGTTCCATGAAGATATTTTGTAAATTTCCTACCATAAATATATCAAAACTTAATTTTTGATTAGTAATATGCATTGCTAAGAACTTCGTTTGGACAGCCTTAAAGGCGATTTTTTTTCCAATATTTAGATTTTTTTTTTACACCCTCAGATTCCAGATTTTCAAATAGTTGCATCTCGGCCAAAATATTGTCATATCCGAACATGTGGTTCCAATCCTGTATGACATTTCATCTGTGGAAAACAAAGAAGATATTTTGAAAAATGTCAACTTTAAAGACAAAATATGTGACCCTGGACCACAAACCAGTCTTAAGTCGCTGGGGTATATTTGTAGTAATAGCCAAAAATACATTGTATGGGTCAAAATTATGCCAAAAATCATTAGGATATTAAGTGAAGATCACGTTCCATGAAGATATTTTGTAAATTTCCTACCATAAATATATCAAAACTTAATTTTTGATTAGTAATATGCATTGCTAAGAACTTCGTTTGGACAGCCTTAAAGGCGATTTTTTTTCCAATATTTAGATTTTTTTTTTACACCCTCAGATTCCAGATTTTCAAATAGTTGCATCTCGGCCAAAATATTGTCATATCCGAACTAACCATACATCAAAGGAAGGCTTATTTTTCAGCTTTCAGATGATGTATAAATCTCAATTTCGAAAAATTGACCCTCGTGACTGGTTTTGTGGTCCAGGGTCACATATGTTCTTGTGTTCCACAGAAGAAAGCAAGCCAAAAAGGTTTGGAATGACTCAAGGGTGAGTGAAGGAATTTTGGATGAACTATCCCTTTAAGAGACATCTTGGGCTGTCAAATTCTAAAATGACAGATTGCATTGAGAAGCAGCTATTTGCAGATAAACGATCTGACCACAAAAGTTTGACTGTTGCTCACGTGAGATTTTGTGTGTAGGTGTCTAGTATCAGCTGAATGGAGAGTTCTGGAGAATTAAGTAAACCTCGCTCAGCTATGACATGAGTGATGAGTAATTATAGATGGCTCGGGGTTTAAGAATAGACTGCAGCTGGTGGCATCATTTCACGGGTTTTAAGGTGGATCATCTTCCCCAGGTCACAACGTAGATGTCAAAATCATACTTGAGGTCGATCTTAAAGCATTGTGGACATGGTTGTAAATTGCTTACTCAGTTGTTACATTTCCCAAACTTGGTAATGCTGAAACCATTTGTCTAAAGTTGGACAATCGGGTGTATATCAGTGATGGAACATCTTGGTATTGTTTGTGCTATTCTTTTTAACCTAATATTAACCATGCTATTTGCTTTTCTTTGAGGAAACATAGCTCTTTGTAAAATAAATAGTGCGGTTGAGAACGAAGGGGGTTTCCATTATCTCAGCTGCACACGCATCTTCTAAAAATGATAAGGTGTCACCTTACTGTGGATATTTATAACGCTGAATTCATGGTGAGTTGGTTTGGTGCCCCCTTCCAACCCCTCTGCCCTCTTTTCTAGTCGTTCCCTGTGTGCCTGGCCTTTGAACCTTGCGTTCCCTATATACAGGAAGGGTGGAGCTTCTATATTCTCCAGAACGTCCATGAAGCTCCAGTCAGAGGGCGAGTCCGTCTTATCCAAGTGTCTTCCAGGGCCCACCACGGCCCCATAATCCAGCAACCCACCCCATAACCCAACACCCCCTTGTGCACCAACAGAAATCCACCGAAGCAGGACCTAAGACCTTTGGCAGTTCTAGTCTAGGGTCCTCACTGGGTTTACAAGGACAAGCATGGCCGACAAACTGGGACTGGCAGGTGTGGCGGACGAGCCCAGCACCCTGAACATCTTCACTCTGTTAGAGAGGGTGTCTGGGATCATAGACAATGTGCAGGCGTGCCAGCAACGCATGGAGGAGAGGCAGCTGGAGCTGGAGAACACCGTGAAGACCATCCAGGTGGACGTGGTGAAGTTGACGAAGGAGCACACGGCGACGAGTAGCACCGTGGAGAAACTTCTAGAGAAAACACGCAAGGTCAGCTGCCATGTCAAGGACGTTCGTGTACGGGTGGAGAAGCAGAACATACGTGTCAAGAAAGTGGAGGAAACCCAAGTCGAGCTGCTGAACAAGAACAAGTTCCGTGTCGTCATCTACCAGGTAAGACTCTTTGCTTTTGGTGGCATGCAAATGTTTTCTTTTGGACTGGATTTTTGGAGTTGGATCTATAAAGCAGGTATAATTTTGGAAACCTACCTTAGAACAGTGGACCTTTTTCCTTTGGTCATGGTTGAAACTCCATGCATTGATAATTTTTTAACTCTGAGCTTGTCCTACAACATTTCAACTTGAGCAAATGGGGTTATCAAAGACAGATATATTGTTTCAAGATACAAGGTCTTGCATGATCCAAGATAAATCCTGGTACATTAGAAGGTCAAGTGGCCTACAGCCAAAAGCACTACAGCAGGAATGTTCTGCCAGTCCCCGCTGAGAATGGAGGATTAGGTTGGCGGCCATTTTATCTGATATGTGGCAGGATGTCTGGAGTAACACACAGATAAACCATGTAATGTGATCCATGAAGGAGTAAAAATTAATTATTATACACTCTTTATTTCATAAGAGAATGAACTATGAAGCCTTATTTGGAATACCGTTGTTGTTTAAAACGTAGATGTCCGAAATCAGATTGAGTACAGAATTATGACATCATAGAGGAATGTTTCATTGCTAAATGTGGAAATACTGTTTCATACATCTGCAATGGATCTGCTATTGTTTGAAATAGCTTGAGAATTATTTGGGAGCTTGTATTAGGACAGCCCAATTACTGTATACAAAAGCACTTACCAGTGCATTAAAATTAATAAAATTATAGTTTTTTATGATTATTAGATTTTTTTTAAAGATTCAAATAACCCAATAGCAATATGATATAACAAATAACAAGAGGGGGTTTTAAAAAATATGATTAAAAATAAAATAATTGACAATTTCTCTAAAATCTTTTAACAATACCATAATGTTTTCATACATTTTTAAGAGAAGATTTTCTGAAATGATGATAGTAAATGCTTGAAATATTCTGTAACTAGATTTGAATTTAAGACCCCGCATTAATCAAATAAAATGAAACATACTGTTATGTTTTCAGATGAATAATTATGCAAAATTTACAATTACATTTTAGTTGAAGACTTTTTTTAATTTTCCGAATATTTATCATAGGAAATAGGCTAGTATTCTCCATTTTCCATATAATACACATTTTCTTGAAGACTAATAGGCAACTAGTGTACTCAAATTAGCTCATATTTTCTTTCGCTAATAATCTTACATTTAATTAGTGCCCATGGGTTTGATGGTCTCTTGTACCGTGAGGAGAACAGCTGACAGATTTGTTCAGGGTTATTCTGAGAGCTGAACTGAAGCTTCATGTCCTAATATAGTGCTATCGCGTCTGTGTAGGTGATGGTTAAAAAAGCTGTCGACAGAGTCTTTAATAACTTATTAAACATTGACGGTTTGTTATTAGTAGTCGTTTTCTTATATAAAATGTGCATTTTGTTGGTTTATAAAGCACTCTGTGACTATTTATCAGAAGTGGTAAAGTTCATAACTGAGTGAGTCACGTAACTTGATTAGCTTATTCTAGCTATTAACGTTATAACTTTTTATATACTGAGCTACGATTGGTTTATGTTATGTGTTAGTTATTCAACAGCACACTATTAATTTTATCTAAACCCTTTCGAAACAGATTATAAACCTACATTATCTTTATTTGCAAACTACTGAGCGATCCGATGGGTGTACAGATTCACAACACTGTATTCATCAACATCAACAGTTTAGCTGTGCTAAGCCTTCTGCACTTTTTGAATTTTAATAGCACTGCTATTCTCAAATGATTTAGCTTAAAACTAATATACATATATATAGTATATGAACCAACACCAAATGTAAAAGCATTTAATCGTCGTCTGGAGTTTTCTCCTAGTGTCGGCAAGTTATTAAATGGCGGACCGATAACCCGCGTAATCGGGTAACTGACGCCGGCGCTACTTTCACGTGTCTCGTTTCACTCCGCGGACTCGCACTCTCTTCTTTCATTCAAACGCGATATCTTACGTATCAGTTGTCGATTGTAGTGAAAATAAACCTTAGAGGACTTCAGTATTAATATTAGTGTAATGTTGTTCATCTTGGAGCTTGGGTGATTGTTTTGTACATTGTATTGTTTGCATCTCGGCCAAAATATTGTCATATCCGAACTAACCATACATCAAAGGAAAGCTTATTTTTCATCTTTCAGATGATGTATAAATCTCAATTTCGAAAAATTGACCCTCGTGACTGGTTTTGTGGTCCAGGGTCACATATGTTCTTGTGTTCCACAGAAGAAAGCAAGCCAAAAAGGTTTGGAATGACTCAAGGGTGAGTGAAGGAATTTTGGATGAACTATCCCTTTAAGAGACATCTTGGGCTGTCAAATTCTAAAATGACAGATTGCATTGAGAAGCAGCTATTTGCAGATAAACGATCTGACCACAAAAGTTTGACTGTTGCTCACGTGAGATTTTGTGTGTAGGTGTCTAGTATCAGCTGAATGGAGAGTTCTGGAGAATTAAGTAAACCTCGCTCAGCTATGACATGAGTGATGAGTAATTATAGATGGCTCGGGGTTTAAGAATAGACTGCAGCTGGTGGCATCATTTCATGGGTTTTAAGGTGGATCATCTTCCCCAGGTCGCAACGTAGATGTCAAAATCATACTTGAGGTCGATCTTAAAGCATTGTGGACATGGTTGTAAATTGCTTACTCAGTTGTTACATTTCCCAAACTTGGTAATGCTGAAACCATTTGTCTAAAGTTGGACAATCGGGTGTATATCAGTGATGGAACATCTTGGTATTGTTTGTGCTATTCTTTTTAACCTAATATTAACCATGCTATTTGCTTTTCTTTGAGGAAACATAGCTCTTTGTAAAATAAATAGTGCGGTTGAGAACGAAGGGGGTTTCCATTATCTCAGCTGCACACGCATCTTCTAAAAATGATAAGGTGTCACCTTACTGTGGATATTTATAACGCTGAATTCATGGTGAGTTGGTTTGGTGCCCCCTTCCAACCCCTCTGCCCTCTTTTCTAGTCGTTCCCTGTGTGCCTGGCCTTTGAACCTTGCGTTCCCTATATACAGGAAGGGTGGAGCTTCTATATTCTCCAGAACGTCCATGAAGCTCCAGTCAGAGGGCGAGTCCGTCTTATCCAAGTGTCTTCCAGGGCCCACCACGGCCCCATAATCCAGCAACCCACCCCATAACCCAACACCCCCTTGTGCACCAACAGAAATCCACCGAAGCAGGACCTAAGACCTTTGGCAGTTCTAGTCTAGGGTCCTCACTGGGTTTACAAGGACAAGCATGGCCGACAAACTGGGACTGGCAGGTGTGGCGGACGAGCCCAGCACCCTGAACATCTTCACTCTGTTAGAGAGGGTGTCTGGGATCATAGACAATGTGCAGGCGTGCCAGCAACGCATGGAGGAGAGGCAGCTGGAGCTGGAGAACACCGTGAAGACCATCCAGGTGGACGTGGTGAAGTTGACGAAGGAGCACACGGCGACGAGTAGCACCGTGGAGAAACTTCTAGAGAAAACACGCAAGGTCAGCTGCCATGTCAAGGACGTTCGTGTACGGGTGGAGAAGCAGAACATACGTGTCAAGAAAGTGGAGGAAACCCAAGTCGAGCTGCTGAACAAGAACAAGTTCCGTGTCGTCATCTACCAGGTAAGACTCTTTGCTTTTGGTGGCATGCAAATGTTTTCTTTTGGACTGGATTTTTGGAGTTGGATCTATAAAGCAGGTATAATTTTGGAAACCTACCTTAGAACAGTGGACCTTTTTCCTTTGGTCATGGTTGAAACTCCATGCATTGATAATTTTTTAACTCTGAGCTTGTCCTACAACATTTCAACTTGAGCAAATGGGGTTATCAAAGACAGATATATTGTTTCAAGATACAAGGTCTTGCATGATCCAAGATAAATCCTGGTACATTAGAAGGTCAAGTGGCCTACAGCCAAAAGCACTACAGCAGGAATGTTCTGCCAGTCCCCGCTGAGAATGGAGGATTAGGTTGGCGGCCATTTTATCTGATATGTGGCAGGATGTCTGGAGTAACACGCAGATAAACCATGTAACGTGATCCATGAAGGAGTAAAAATGAATTAATATACACTCTTTAGTGAATAAGAGAATGAACTATGAAGCCTTATTTAGAATACCACTGTTGTTTAAAACGAGTTTAGATGTCCGAAATCAGATTAAGATCAAGTACAGAATTATGACATCATGGAGGAATGTTTCATTGCTAAATCTGGAAATACTGTTTCATACATCTGCAATAGATCTGCTATTGTTTGAAATAACTTGACAATCATTTGGGTAGCTTGTATTAGGACAGCCCAATTACTGTATACAAAAGCACTTACCAGTGCATTAAAATTAATAAAATTATAGTTTTTTATGATTATTAGATTTTTTTTAAAGATTCAAATAACCCAATAGCAATATGATATAACAAATAACAAGAGGGGGTTTTAAAAAATATGATTAAAAATAAAATAATTGACAATTTCTCTAAAATCTTTTAACAATACCATAATGTTTTCATACATTTTTAAGAGAAGATTTTCTGAAATGATGATAGTAAATGCTTGAAATATTCTGTAACTAGATTTGAATTTAAGACCCCGCATTAATCAAATAAAATGAAACATACTGTTATGTTTTCAGATGAATAATTATGCAAAATTTACAATTACATTTTAGTTGAAGACTTTTTTTAATTTTCCGAATATTTATCATAGGAAATAGGCTAGTATTCTCCATTTTCCATATAATACACATTTTCTTGAAGACTAATAGGCAACTAGTGTACTCAAATTAGCTCATATTTTCTTTCGCTAATAATCTTACATTTAATTAGTGCCCATGGGTTTGATGGTCTCTTGTACCGTGAGGAGAACAGCTGACAGATTTGTTCAGGGTTATTCTGAGAGCTGCACTGAAGCTTCATGTCCTAATATAGTGCTATCGCGTCTGTGTAGGTGATGGTTAAAAAAGCTGTCGACAGAGTCTTTAATAACTTATTAAACATTGACGGTTTGTTATTAGTAGTCGTTTTCTTATATAAAATGTGCATTTTGTTGGTTTATAAAGCACTCTGTGACTATTTATCAGAAGTGGTAAAGTTCATAACTGAGTGAGTCACGTAACTTGATTAGCTTATTCTAGCTATTAACGTTATAACTTTTTATATACTGAGCTACGATTGGTTTATGTTATGTGTTAGTTATTCAACAGCACACTATTAATTTTATCTAAACCCTTTCGAAACAGATTATAAACCTACATTATCTTTATTTGCAAACTACTGAGCGATCCGATGGGTGTACAGATTCACAACACTGTATTCATCAACATCAACAGTTTAGCTGTGCTAAGCCTTCTGCACTTTTTGAATTTTAATAGCACTGCTATTCTCAAATGATTTAGCTTAAAACTAATATACATATATATAGTATATGAACCAACACCAAATGTAAAAGCATTTAATCGTCGTCTGGAGTTTTCTCCTAGTGTCGGCAAGTTATTAAATGGCGGACCGATAACCCGCGTAATCGGGTAACTGACGCCGGCGCTACTTTCACGTGTCTCGTTTCACTCCGCGGACTCGCACTCTCTTCTTTCATTCAAACGCGATATCTTACGTATCAGTTGTCGATTGTAGTGAAAATAAACCTTAGAGGACTTCAGTATTAATATTAGTGTAATGTTGTTCATCTTGGAGCTTGGGTGATTGTTTTGTACATTGTATTGTACTATTTTGTCTTAGCGGAAGCTTTAATAGAACAAGATTAAAGCTGCAAGCAGCATTGAAAGGGCCCTCGCACACGGGCTCCCCGGCACCCGGTGGCTTTAGGAAATCAGCAAACAGTGAGCAATATGCATTTAAATTAGTAAATATAGGAGGAATCTGTCAAAGTAATTTATATGTGTCAAACTTCCTGCTGCCAGCTGGTGGCGCTATGACTATAACTGAATAGTGACATGTAGATGTCTTTATGCCAGCACTTTTATCAAACATATGAAGTTTGGTGCAGATTGAACATGGTATGTTTGAGTTAGTATTAGGGCTGCCCTCGACTAAGGATTTTTCTGGTCAACTAGTATTCGTTCGTTTTAAGCATTAGTCGACTAATCGCATGTTTATTAATAAACCATTTAAATCATTATAATGAGCCTTTAATTGCCTACAAAGCCTAAGCACTCAAGCGCACGCATAAAGCTTGCCACAGCGCACCGGCAGAAGAAATTATTATAAATGTGTCAGGGAAAAACAGTAAGGAGACTGCATTAACATTTTAATAACTTGTTGATAAACTAGTGCTTTCTTTGTTTTCGGTTTAAGAGATGAAGTCGGCGACACAACTGACTTGTCATCTCCACAGTATGATGCGCCTGTATGCATGTTTCATACGGATTACATAATTGGAGAATATTTGTTTTCCATTTGAATTGGTTCATTTGAAAGTAGACATTTCACTCTCTATAGATTTATTTTTAATGTCTGTAAGGCAAAGATATACATGGAGTTTCGCGCTCAAGTTCACAGACCGAGATGCCAGAAAGCGCATCCTTTTTGCTTTCATTATTTTACAAAAGCGCGTTTTGCTGTTATTGTGAGTGCACACAAATAAACATTGAGTCTTTGCAGATTTGAAAGATGTATTACTCTTATCTGTATGACCAAAAATTACGGAGTATTTTAAGAGTAAGTGAGCACACCGGCGCCTCCATCTGTCTGCAGTGAGCTACTGTTCAGCTTCCACACAGACGCTTGAATAGCAGACATTTCTCTAGGCTAACATTAGATTGAGTGGCCATGTAAAGCTGCTAATACTTACATATTTCAGATGATAAGCCATATTTGTTGTGCATGAATGATAGGCGAGCGGTTTGGCTGTCCTGCCGGATGTACTGTATTACCAGAGACCAGCCGTTAACGGTCTGCGTGACTTCGCCAATGTGGATTTTTTATAAAATTTTGGTCGACCAAGCCACTTCTGGTCGACTAACAATTAGTCGACTATTAGGGGGTAGCCCTAGTTAGTATAAAGCATGGCGTATCTTATTGCCAACAGGTGGCGCTATGATTATAACTAAATATTGGCCTTTGGATTTGGTGCAGATTGGACATTGCATGTTTAAGATAATGTAAAACAAGCCATTTCCTGTTTCCAGCAAGTGGCGCTATGCTTATAATGGAATATTAGCCTTTAGATGTGTTCAGGCCAGGACTCTTATTGAACTTGTGAAGTTTGGGGCAGATCGGACATTGTATGGCTGAGTAACAACAACTTCTATTCCCATGACGAGACATCGAACTTTGTTACGCCGCCATGGACATGCCCTTTAATGAAAACTCAAGATCTTTGCAATTTAACATCACAAAGGCCTTTAGATTTGACTGACCAAATATAATTTTCATGTCATTAAATCTCTAGGAGGAGTTTGTTACAGAGTAAAACATGCAACTTCCTGTTGCCAGCAGGTGGCGCTATGACTATAACTCTAGATCTCTTCAGGAAAAGGAGTCTTATCAAACATGTGAAGTTTGGGGAAGATTGGACATTGTATGGCTTAGTTATAACAACTTCCTGTTTCATGGTGAAACATCAAAATTTGTCAGGCCGCCACGGACACGCCCTTCAACGAAAACTCAAGATCTTCGCAATTTAACATCACAAAGGGCTTTAGATTACACTGACCAAATTTGGAATTAAGCTCTAGGAGGAGTTCATTAAAATACAACTCTTGAAAATTACAAAAGAGATCATTGAAAATAACTGACTTCCTGTTTGAGAGACTTTTTTGTAGGTATTGTTGTGTTACATGTGTGTACCGATTTTTGTACATGTATGTGAAACATAGCGGGAGGGGCACTTCATTGAAAGTAAATAGGTGACGCTATCGAGACATTTTGCCACACCCACTTCTGAAACCCATATCAGACTTACATTTTTGCCAGTTCTGATGCATGTGTAACGTTTTGTGAGTTTTCGAGCATGTTTAGGCCCTCAAAAATGCGATTCAAAATCTGAGCAATTCCAATAGGGTCCTCGCACCACCGGTGCTCAGGCCCCAATTATAAAATAATTTGAACTCAAACCACTATATAACGTTCACATATTTATTTATTTATTTGGTGAGTAACCAGTCACATTATCCTTCATGCCTTATTTTGCTACCTAATTATGCATGATTATATGGTTAGTTGTGTTTTTAACATTTCTCTTGGGAACTGTTTTGTATAGAGCTATAATGGAATTATATATACATTATAACATTTTACAAACTATAGATGAATAAACTACACTCATGGAATGGAGTTGTACGATATGTGCATTTTTTTTGTCTTTTAAGTAGCCTGATACCATTTTTTATTGGTTTAAGCTGTCTCAGCTGTGCTATACATGGTAAAAGTATGGTAAATTTATTCTCTTCCCACAGGGAGATGATAAGGTTCCAGCTGTACCTGCTTCTAAAGCATCTCCGAAGGGAGCAACGGGCGGAGATGCTTCTGTAGACCCTGATGCCCCAGAGGCCCTGCTTCCAGACTCAGATGAGGAATACATGGTGGTTGAGGAGGCAGAATCATCTACTGCTGCCAAACTAAAGAAGACCGGCCTGAAGGGCATCGAAAGCCTGAAGCAGACCTTCTCCCGTGAGAACATGACTAAGACCAAAGAGAATCTGGGCACCAAGGTCAACAAGCTGGGTGAGCGCATAGTAACGGCCGAACGGCGTGAGAAAATCCGCCAGTCTGGCGAGCGTTTCAAGGAAACCATCACGAAAACCGTGCCAGCAAAACTCAACCTGAAGAAGGAAAGGACGGTGGCTGAAGGTCGGGAAGGAGCAGAAGGGACCACGGAAGGAACGGCACCTGTCCCACCACCGAAGGGCCGCAAGGCCAGCCCTGGCGTGGCCTACACGGAGCCAACAGAGAAACAAGAAGGTCCAGATGAGGGCAAGGGCGAGGAATCAGAAGTGCCGATGTATGATATGAAGCAGCTTTCTTAAGCGGCAAGTCTTGACAGTCAGATTTGGGAAAGACTCATGTACAGATATGAATTTGATTATGGAGAACTTGAAGGTTGAAAGGTTGCGAAGATGAGAGATCTTGCTTCCAAGTGTGTGGATAAGTGGATGGTTCTAACGACAACTGAATGAACGAATTAAGGAATTTGTACATTACAAACAATATCCTAGAGTTTCTTTTTTTCTTTTCTTGTTTACATCTGTTATGGACTATGAAGTGTTATAAACTGTGTTAAACTATGTACTGAGATGACTAGGCTATGGTTTTTAATATAAATTCAGCCAAAAACATGGTGCACTCAAGTGATTTTCTTTGTCTTTATACTGCCACCTATGGGAGTGGATGCAGCATCGTGAAAAATCAAGGTAGCATAGTAGATCCACTACATCTAGAGTAAAACATGTCTAAAAATTGTTGAGGAAAAATGACTGAGTGCACCTTTTATGGATTGACATTATTTGTTAGGTGCGTGTACAAATATTTTAAAGACATTTCTTTGAATAGCTGAATTTACAAATAATTCGCAGAGAAGTAGCTTTTGGACTTTCTCTGGAGAACTTTAAATATATTCTGGTGTCAACTGACATCCAGCATGTCAACAGTGGATGAGTTAAGAATAAAATTTTTCAATTTAGATGTTGTAGTGGTTTTTGGAATATGACTAAATGTGCAGAAAAGTCATTTGTAAACAATATTTTTCTGTGCCTCTGTGTAAACTCTGAAAAACAACTTTTGCAGTCTAACCTTGGTGATGAAACCACCATTCAGTTGTAGTATTTTTAAATAAACATATGAACTCAATCAGCTGGTTTCTGAAGAGTTTCTGGGAAAAATGCATTTAGTGTATTAATAATCAAGACGGATTATAGAGCTTTGCAATCAGACTGATTTTTAAGGATCACAGTAGTGAAAGAAAGTGTTGCTGAATGGCAATTTTTTTATTTCCTACTACGCATTTTCCAAACTTTTTTTATTGGGGGATGGAGAAAATCATCACCAACAATGTTGTCATGATAAAAAGCATGGACTACCACCATGAGATTGTCTTTACACTGTTTTAGTCACACTTTGAACTTTATGATATGCATGAAACGTGCATGTGTGAATAAAGAACATTTCACTCAAGAACACTAGTTGTAATGAAACGATGTTTCTTATATTTTATTTTTCGTCATATATACACAGTTTGGACACTGCTGCTATAATGTGAATTAACAAATGCAATGCAAAAATAGCAATCCCAGATAGACTACTATAGGGGCATTTCTGAATAGTTCAAGGAAAACTGCTACATTCAGCAGCATGTTTGTGCAAATCATTGTGTATATTTAAACTCCAATAAAATCTCATCTTATGTGAAAATTCAAGTGTGCATCCAATTTCAACACACTAAAGCAGAATGGCAAAATAATAGTCACAAGATATAAAACACAAGTGTCAGTACATTACAAATGTAAAATAACAAGAATAGTCATATTATAGATCAATTGAAAGTTTGAGTAAAAAAAAAAAGTTTCCTGTTTTGATTTTTTGATTTGTGTGTGTATATATATTTAAAAAATTTTTTTTTTTTTTTTAAATCAAGCTTCTTGAGTGAAAATAGCTCTGGACTACATTATGAGTTTATTTACAGTCACAGAGCAAAGCGACTCCCCTCAGCGTCCAGTGGTCTGGGCTCTGGCTGCTCCGGAGCAACAGTGAAAATATGTATGTCAGGTCAGTTCTTCTTGGTTTCTTGTACACTGGGCAAGAGTAGAGATTAATGGGAGGCTTCTTGGTTTCTGTGGTGCTGCTCACCGCAAACACATGTACAACCGGCAATGGTGTGAAGAGAACCTACCAAAAAACATAATACATATATCATGACTTTGCAAACAACGACAATCCTACATGACAGATTAGTTGACTTGGTTTGGAAGATCCCTGAATGTTAGCACTGCATAATGGGATGTGCTTCTGTAAAAATGTTTAATTTTTTTACGGGTATAATAGACAAATTAATTGTAAAGAACAACACCCAAAATTCTGAATCAGGCAGAGAATTTTATATTGGACTGTTATCTTTTTGTATATTATGTAATTTGCAGTGCTTCTCAGTCTGTCTAGACTCTAGATCATAAAAGATTTTAACAAATGGGAAAAATAAAATTTTTAATACCAGTAAGCGAATGCATTCAAACAATCCGTCCAAAACAGCGCTAATATAAAGGAAACCAGGCTGATTACATCAGAGATTGCAGAGAGAACAGAGACTCGCATTGAGTTTTCAGTTTTTATTCATTCCAGTGTGTTTCGCTTTAAAACACGAGCTCTGTCATATTCTGTGATTGTCTCTGATGAGCGTGAGCCCTCACATGTCACACGCGCTGTGTGAAGTACAGACTGAATGGATTGTCAACGCGTCCCACAGCTGTATGGCCAGATGAGACGCAAACTACGGTTTCTCGACTTGACAACCAGTCTCGCTAGTAAAGTTTTGATGGATGAAGACTGCAATCAAGGTAAAGACGATACAGGAGTACTACAGTAAGCACGCGTGAGTCCGTTATATTAATGCGTGTATGAGCGTTCTTGACGCACTGATCGCAAGTTAAGAATAAAATTTTTCAATTTAGATGTTGTAGTGGTTTTTGGAATATGACTAAATGTGCAGAAAAGTCATTTGTAAACAATATTTTTCTGTGCCTCTGTGTAAACTCTGAAAAACAACTTTTGCAGTCTAACCTTGGTGATGAAACCACCATTCAGTTGTAGTATTTTTAAATAAACATATGAACTCAATCAGCTGGTTTCTGAAGAGTTTCTGGGAAAAATGCATTTAGTGTATTAATAATCAAGACGGATTATAGAGCTTTGCAATCAGACTGATTTTTAAGGATCACAGTAGTGAAAGAAAGTGTTGCTGAATGGCAATTTTTTTATTTCCTACTACGCATTTTCCAAACTTTTTTTATTGGGGGATGGAGAAAATCATCACCAACAATGTTGTCATGATAAAAAGCATGGACTACCACCATGAGATTGTCTTTACACTGTTTTAGTCACACTTTGAACTTTATGATATGCATGAAACGTGCATGTGTGAATAAAGAACATTTCACTCAAGAACACTAGTTGTAATGAAACGATGTTTCTTATATTTTATTTTTCGTCATATATACACAGTTTGGACACTGCTGCTATAATGTGAATTAACAAATGCAATGCAAAAATAGCAATCCCAGATAGACTACTATAGGGGCATTTCTGAATAGTTCAAGGAAAACTGCTACATTCAGCAGCATGTTTGTGCAAATCATTGTGTATATTTAAACTCCAATAAAATCTCATCTTATGTGAAAATTCAAGTGTGCATCCAATTTCAACACACTAAAGCAGAATGGCAAAATAATAGTCACAAGATATAAAACACAAGTGTCAGTACATTACAAATGTAAAATAACAAGAATAGTCATATTATAGATCAATTGAAAGTTTGAGTAAAAAAAAAAAGTTTCCTGTTTTGATTTTTTGATTTGTGTGTGTATATATATTTAAAAAATTTTTTTTTTTTTTTTAAATTAAGTTTCTTGGGTGAAAATAGCTCTGGACTACATTATGAGTTTATTTACAGTCACAGAGCAAAGCGACTCCCCTCAGCGTCCAGTGGTCTGGGCTCTGGCTGCTCCGGAGCAACAGTGAAAATATGTATGTCAGGTCAGTTCTTCTTGGTTTCTTGTACACTGGGCAAGAGTAGAGATTAATGGGAGGCTTCTTGGTTTCTGTGGTGCTGCTCACCGCAAACACATGTACAACCGGCAATGGTGTGAAGAGAACCTACCAAAAAACATAATACATATATCATGACTTTGCAAACAACGACAATCCTACATGACAGATTAGTTGACTTGGTTTGGAAGATCCCTGAATGTTAGCACTGCATAATGGGATGTGCTTCTGTAAAAATGTTTAATTTTTTTACGGGTATAATAGACAAATTAATTGTAAAGAACAACACCCAAAATTCTGAATCAGGCAGAGAATTTTATATTGGACTGTTATCTTTTTGTATATTATGTAATTTGCAGTGCTTCTCAGTCTGTCTAGACTCTAGATCATAAAAGATTTTAACAAATGGGAAAAATAAAATTTTTAATACCAGTAAGCGAATGCATTCAAACAATCCGTCCAAAACAGCGCTAATATAAAGGAAACCAGGCTGATTACATCAGAGATTGCAGAGAGAACAGAGACTCGCATTGAGTTTTCAGTTTTTATTCATTCCAGTGTGTTTCGCTTTAAAACACGAGCTCTGTCATATTCTGTGATTGTCTCTGATGAGCGTGAGCCCTCACATGTCACACGCGCTGTGTGAAGTACAGACTGAATGGATTGTCAACGCGTCCCACAGCTGTATGGCCAGATGAGACGCAAACTACGGTTTCTCGACTTGACAACCAGTCTCGCTAGTAAAGTTTTGATGGATGAAGACTGCAATCAAGGTAAAGACGATACAGGAGTACTACAGTAAGCACGCGTGAGTCCGTTATATTAATGCGTGTATGAGCGTTCTTGACGCACTGATCGCACATTGTATTTATGCACAGGCACAGACATTTCCATACATTCACATTATTTCCACATACATTCACGATAATGTTTTGATTTGTCATGTGTATGTTGCTGTTTAGTTATTCTGAATGGATCCGTGTACTGTAGTAGATATATGCAGTCAGCCGTCGGTTGGTTTAGGTTTTTTTTGGCACCATGTGGTCCTGTTCGGTATCGCAACTTGACTTCTCTAAAATGTAAAAAAAAGCAATTTGCTGTTGCACTGTACACATACTATACAAATCAGGGAAAAAACATTTTTTGCATTTTTTTTTTCTTTCATATGTGCTTATATGGGCTCCTTATATCATGCCACAAACTGATCACCTCCATCCCACGCCGAATTGAGGCAGAAATTAAAGCAAAAGGAGCCCCTACCAAGTATTGAGTACATGTACAGTAAATGAACATACTTTCCAGAAGGCCAACAATTCCCCCCCTCAAAATTTTTTTATTGGAATTTATTCTTATGAAGTATTCTAATTTGTTGAGATAGTGAATTGGTGGGTTTTTGTTAAATGTGAGCCAAAATCATCACAATTAAAAGAACCAAAGACTTAAACTACTTCAGTCTGTGTGCATTGAATTTATTTAATACATGAGTTTCACAATTTGAGTTGAATTACTGAAATAAATGAACTTTTCCATGACATTCTAATTTATTGAGATGCACCTGTATATTTATCTTGAAAAAAGCTTGCAGAAAATAATTTTTGAGAATCGCCCTTCAATCTTTTGCTTTACTTTGCTGAATATAGTAAATGATGACAAAATAAACATTTGAAACAAGATAAATGGCCTATGCTTAATTTCATGAATTGTGCGATTAATCACAGAAAAAGGGTGTGATTAATTAGATTAAAAAATTTAATCTATTGACAGCCCTAGTTTTAGTTAAGTCTAATAACTCTTTTCCAACTTGCCCGAATTCCCTAAAGGTAGAACCTGTCATTTTATTCTTAATATCTAAGTATTTGTTTAAATTATATATTTAAATAATTAAGAAAATATTTCAGAATTTTTCAATAATTGCTTTTAGGATTATTCTTACAAACATCTTTCATAAAATGTAAGAAATAATTTTTCTTAAGAGGATTTTCATGAATATGGTCCCAGGTCTGTTGGTGATGGCCAGTCTTGATTTTGTGTTAACTTCTGAAACTGCCAAACCTATTATCGACAAACTTATGGCCACATATTGTCTTCATTTATCCTTCCCCAGAATACCTTTGGAGATGATTCTGTCAGTTTTGCATTCTTCTTGTCCCATCCAGCACCATCCAGATAGAGGCCATAGATATAGACGCCGCCCACATCTCCTGGCGGGGGGGCTGTGACATCTTCCTTCATCATGCGAGTGACGTCGTTAAGTAGGACGACGGTGTCTAGGGCCCAGCCTTTAGACAGATTCATTCGAGTGGTCTCTTGACGCATCGCAGTTAAGAACCCCTATTATGAAGAACAATACGTTAATAGAGAAACCTGAATCAAATTAAACCCGAACCCGAGTCAAATGAGATAATTGACCCACCTGTGGATTGAAAAACCCTGTGAGCCAAAACTGATGAGGTCGACCACTGAAAGTCCAGTTGTGGAATTGCTGGTTCCTCTCAAGGAGTTCGGTGAACCAGAAACCCAGAGAAGCAGCTTCCCAAGAGATTTTTTGCCAGGACTTTGGAACACGAGCATCATACATGCTGTCCAGAGCGTCGCGGAGATCCTCTGACATTATTATAGTCCCTTTGGGATTATAAACTCATTGTGTTACAATACAAAGCATCTTTTTCTAGACATTTTTGATGATATTGTTAATGTTTCTCTTCTTAATTTTAAAACTATGAATGTGTTTTACTGTACTATAAGTAAACCCATTCAGAACTCACCATCAATGGCAAGTTTAAGGTCGGTGAGGGTAGTGCGCACACGACCAATGACACGCTGCATTCTGTCAAGCTCCTGACGAAGGAATATAGTCATGGGCTGGAATGCACCCATTTTTTGTAGGTTACTCCTTACCTGCATAGAGTCATTTGAAAGTTTACGGTCTACATTTAATTAAGACACTAAAGGCTGGAATACACTACACAACTTTTCATATCTGAACAGATTTAAAAAAAAACTGGACATCATACATTAAATGACTGAGGATCATACACTACCAGACTTTAAAGTCCGATCACAACAAACTCATGCAGAAACGTTTATTGCTAGGAGACATGTAACAAATGAAAACAATGTGTCTTCTAAAATCGGCTGAAAATATCAAACATGTTTGATATCCTCCAACTGGATGGAATCATAGTCTGAAGCTACAAAATCGGAGTCTGTGACCATCATACACTATGTTATTTCTATGAAATCTGTCAGTTGAAATCTGACAGTCCGGCAACTAGCGTCAACTTGTCCAAACTGTAAATCGGGGGAAAAAGCGTGAAGTTTATTCCAACCTTAATATGCTTTGAGCCTTAGCCTAATAAAGAAGTGGCCCAATAACTTCATCTTCACCTCGTGTGGCACATAGTCAGCAGGAAGTTTTTCTAGCATCTCATTGGCCATCTTCTGGACAGATGACTCCCTGGTCTCGCCCTCCCCACTGCTGCTGTCTTTGGGTTGGATGTTGAGGATGGTGTTCAGGGTTTCATTAGCCATGTTGGTCTGGTAAGTAATGTCAGCATTGGAATGGAGGCCAAATACCTATTGGATGAAATTTGAATCAACAGGTTCTACGTCACCACCCAGTCGCCCCATCAAATTCCATAGAAAATAATAATTATCTGTATCACCTCAGGTGTATCAACCAATGGCAGAGTATCAATATGCACATGGTAATCCTGCAGCATCTTGGCCTTTGGTATAGTATATCCTTTATAGAAACAGAACTTGTCCCCAAACATGTTTTCACTAAACCAGATACGGGCGAAAGTATTGAGCAGGCGTTTGTCCATATCATCCGTGACACGTCCACCATACTGCACCTACAGAACCAATAGTAAAATTACAGAATGTTGTTAAAATTTGGGATTTATCAACAACAACAATGAAAAAAGCAATGGCAGGTCTATACTGTACCTCTCCTAGCATGTATCGCAGGCAAAACCAGTTCACTCCTCTCTTGATGTCGATATCATCCAAGTGGTTCTGCACAAACTGGACACTGGAAGTGAAATCAGCCTGGTTGAACTCATAGGGAATGTTCCAGCCAAGTGGACCAAATTTGCGTCTCTCCTTTAGAGGGAACATGACAATGGGAACAACAGTTCTTAAATGGCTGTGCTAAAATCTTACTTTTTTATAAAATTTGTTTAAGGGATACTCCACCCCAAAATGAAAACTTTGTCATTAATCACTTACCCCCATGCCGTTCCAAACCCGTAAAAGCTTAGTTCGTCTTCGGAACACAATATAAGATATTTTGGATGAAAACCGGGAGGCTTGTGACTGTCCCATTGACTGTTTAGTAAATTACACGGTCAAGGTCCAAAAAAGTATGAAAAGCATCGTCAGAATGGTCTATCTGCCATCAGTGGTTAAACCGTAATGTTATGAAGTGACAAGAATACTTTTTGTACGCGAAGAAAACAAAAATAACAACTTTATTCAACAATTCGTCTCCTCTGTGTCTCTCCGCATCACCGTAGCGTCATTTTGGAGAATATCAGATGAACGCAAGCAGCGTACGCTCTTCTGTGTCAGCCAAAAAGTATTCACGTCATTTCATAACGTTACGGTTGAACCACTGATGGCAGATGGACTACTCTGACGATGCTTTTCATACTTTTCTGGACCTTGACAGTGTAATTTACTTGGCAGTCAATGGGACAGTCACAAGCCTCCCGGTTTTCATCCAAAATATCTTAAATTGTGTTCCGAAGACGAATTAAGCTTTTACGGATTTGGACCGACATGGGGGTAAGTAATTAATGACAAAATTTTCATTTTGGGGTGGAGTGACCCTTTAACAATACAATATATAATATAATGTTTATGTTATTAAATGTCTTATAAATAATATTTATTATATTGTTTCAAATTATTTTTAGCAGGGTATCTCAATTGGGGCTTTATGAAAATCTAAAAATGTCCAGCTGTCCTGACCTGGACTGTGGTATGGAGGAAGGCCACAGCATAGAAAATAGGCCTCCACTGAGGCATGTTGGAGATCTCCAGCTGTTCCTGGGTCACACTATTGTATGTCCGCTTGAGTCCAGCCTTCACCCCTGCATCGCAGTTCATTAACCACACATTATCAGTCTCTGCATGCTTAGCATTTTATTCCTTTATTTTTATGACATGCTGATGTTGAATGTAAAGAACCATAAAGATATTCTGATAACATTAATGATAAATCTAGCAAATGAGGACGTAACAGCAGAATTTTCCACTTCTCTACCTTGCGGAGGCTCATTGGTGAATTTAATTGAAGACTGCAGGAAGTTAATGGGGAATTTAGGGTGCCCCTCTGTGGTCACCCATAACCTGAAATTGTCATGGATGCTCTCTGTTGTGGTAACTGTGTCTAAACCTTCATCCAGGAACTCTAATCCCAGATGGCAGTTCTGCAGAAGTAACCAGCCTCCATCAGACATGCTCTGGGCCAGAAGCCTTCTTGAATGTACTTCCTGTCCCTGTCCCATGGAGATTGGCCTGCAAGGAACACCCTGCAGAACAACAAGAAAACTGTTGAGCAACATTTGGATCTCAAAAGTCATCAAACCTTCACATCAAGCGATATTATATTTTAAATGAAACAAGTGACACTGCCAATTAATATGAAGGTGACATCAGTCTGCACAAATTGTCTGACTGGGGCAACAGTCAAACATACAAATATTTGACTTCAGAATGCCCCAACTGACCAATCAGAATCAAGCATTCTAGAAAAGCGTGTAATAATGAATAATAATTATTCATACCTTCGACCTGGCGAGTCTCTCTATGCTCTCTGTGGGATCAGAACCCATAGACAGGAAGCAGACTAGAGGTATCCTCTTATCACTTTCTGAACACATGGCATCCATATCCAGAATCACTCCCTCTGCATACTTCAACCCCATTGATTCAGCAATGTATTTACGTGCCTATCACAGAATAACAAGGAGCAATATTCAAATATTCAAATTCCACAAAAATGGCCATTTTTAATACACTTTGTCATTTTAAATACTTGAAAGGATCTGTTGAATTATCAATTAGTTTTATGAATATATTTAGTCTTGTGAGTAACACACACGGTTAGTGGTCAAAGAGAGGTCAGTGACTTCTTGGCACTGCTGTTAGAGATAAATGCATTCTGTTATGCTATAAATAATTAATATTGTATGCATGTTAAATTTAATGGTTCTTAATTAAACACAGTATTCAAAGTAGTGTTGTCAAAAACCGACCGCGTTACCACCGCTAATAGATGCGGCTTTCAAATTTGAAATCAATGCCAACAGTGAGACAGTGTTTGCGAATCAAGAATCATACTGCAGTAAGATTCCGTTTCTTAATCTGGTCTTTACAAGTTAAAGGAAATTAGCTATTCAAAATCTTTGGACAATTAATATTTCACCACAGTACAACATGTGAGTGCTGCTGTTAAAATAGTATCTCACATAATCCAGTGAGTGACGGGGGTGAACAGGTGTACTGTGAAAGCTACAGGATGTGTTTAACCCTTAATTCATTTTGAGCAAAGTGGTTGAGTCAATGATTGTCATTGTCTCTTTATGTGAAAGTAATAAACATTTAAAGTGCGACATGTAAAACAACTTTCCCACTGGTTGACATTTGGTAAGAAATAAAATTTTCAATTTCTCAGTCAGTCTAAGAATGATGATCTATGCCTAAATAAGGTGATAGCACTCCACTGACCAGTAAATGAATAACTTGTGCCTACCCATGACCAGTGTTGGGGAAAGTTACTTTTAAAAGTAATGCATTACAATATTGCGTTACTCCATAAAAAAGTAACTAATTACGTTACTTAGTTACTTTTTATGGAAAGTAATGCATTACGTTACTTTTGCATTGCTTTTTAAAATCTGGACAGGGCTTGCTTGTTTGTTTTTAAAATAAAAATAATTATATTTTTGGCAAATATAAAAGCCTTTTCACACCAAAAGTGAAATGAATAAGCCTCAGGCTGAAGGGAAAGTAAATTTATGTCCGTACAGTAGAATGCAGAAGAAGAAATTTCAACACTTCAGCAATAAAAAAAGACACACAAATGTTTGTCTAGAGTCATTTTTGCTTATTATGGTTGAACTGGATCATCGAAGGTCAGAAGCAAAGACATTGTTTAATAGAATGGGATT